AAAACAGTTTAATCCCAAGAAAGCTACCCAGTAGCCTATTTTTTCTAGTAAGACCGTGTGTCTCTACTTTCCATGTATATACCAAAATCGACCTACTTTTATTGGATATACCTACCATACAATTACTTTCGCGGGAAGGTATCTTTAAGACAGAAATGAAATGGGGTTTAACGTCCCACAAGAACAACTGTCTAGTCGTACGGATGGTATAAAAAAACGAGGTGCCGTGTACATATTGGCGTGCACGTAAAAGAATCCTTGACAGTTGGAATACGATGTGAGTAGGCCGTTAACTGTCTGGACAAAAGATCCCTCCTAGCACACTGTATGGCGTATGCCCGTCTTCATTAGCCCAGTCAGAGCAGAACAGTAGGACGTTAAACCGCATTTCATTGTATTCTATCGGGGCAGAGAGTAGGCTAATCAATAATTGCATAATACCTGCTGTTCAGAACTATTTGCCGATCCGTCACAAAGGGAGATAAATCCAAATAGTATTCAGGAACGAGGATGTAAATTATCTTGACAATTCAGCGTCTTTCTGTTGTATAATAATGTCAATAATACTCCGAAACGTGAGTTCAAAAACATTTTAACATAGTTTAATTTTACAATTATAATTTTGGTGGTGACAAACCTCTCTAATTATTTGTCTGTTCTGCTTGTCACATGCCCTGACCCCCGAAACAAGCGGAACCATTTGTAAATACAGCCATCTAAAAAGTATAATGTTTCAATAGCCTTTATAAATTGAATTGGATATAGACACAATTCTATCGACGAATACGATCACAGTTTCTCATCGCGCGACATTTATAGTACGTTTAGTCGACATGGAGCTATGTAAATCAATATATCGGTATTATTATATAAACAGTAAATTGTATTCCATAGCATTGTGTCCGTCTTGTGTTGGACATTAATATTTTAAATCTATAATTTAAATTAATATTTGTTGAAAAATGTGTCAGCCTAACTCCAATATGTCATGGCTATATATATATGCCTTCCAAAGTAATATCCGGAACGTAATAAAGATCCAATTCTAAAGTATTGCCATGCCGTATGTCCAAGGCCGGATTAAGGGTGGGGGGTGTGTGTTGAGGAGGGGGGTGCTGTATATGGCACAGTCAGGGTCCCCAATATTAATTCTATGTTTTATATAAAGCATATAATTTAATACCGGGTAATGTATGATTTTATTTATTCGGCTGTATATGGTTGTGCCAAATAAATATATCTTATCAACCATATGCACAAATTGTATTTTGTAGAGTGTGACGGACAAAGACGAGATGCCCACTTTTAACTGTTGTTACAAGGGCCCCAGTGACCCTTTCAGTCAGGGGCCCCCCATGTAAGCTGTATTCGACCCTGATCTCTGGAGTAGATCCAATTGTTAATACAGTATAGATCAGTAGGTTTCACATTACGTGTAAATTGATCGATCGACATGCGACCTACTTCTCCATTGTTATCTTGTTTGCAGGTGTAACGCACAATAATCGTTTAGTTATACGCGGTGTATTAGAGATAGAGGGGTTCAATAGGGTTCAATACGGGGGTCGTCTTAACAGCATTATAGGCCCCCGGGTAAAGCCGTGCCCTGGAGCCCCTACCTACACAACCACTCATATTATAGGAATAAAAAATGTAAATGGTCAATGAAATTAAACATTTATTTACTGTATTGGTACTTACAACAAAATCATTGATTAAACGTCCACTCGACACAAACCAGTTCATTTCGGGACAAACATATGGCTCAATTTTATTTCAATAATTCGCTTGCATTGGGAGGAAACCGAAGGGCCGGGAGAAAACCCACGAGGTTGGACATACTACCCTACTCCTTGCCACGTACAACCAAGGAATAGAAACCACACCAGTTGACTCAATGACAGACATTATGATACAGCAATGCGAGGGAAATGAATTTTGCCCGGACAGTGCCATTTCCACCTACTTCTCTTCATTTTCCTGTTGTTATGTGTTCTTGTGCACGCCATTGTGTTAAGGTTACGAAGGGATTTGAAAAATGTGATGTTATTTATTCTTAAAGACCCTATACATGATTTCAGCCCCATATAATCCAGTACAAACAGCAAAATATAGAAGTTGAAGCTGTGCTAGAAATTTATGAGAGAGAGAGAGAGAGAGAGAGAGAGAGTTAACGTCCTCTAGATAAAACTAGGACTAACACATGGTTCAATTTTATTTCAATAATTCACTTGCGCGTAGGGGTCATTAATTGTGGGAGGAAACCGAAGGTCCCGGATAAAGCCCCTGAGGTTGGACAAGCGACCCTAGTCCTTGTCACTTGCAAGCGTAGAATCGAAAACACGCCACTAGATTAATGCCAGAACTTATGATATTATGTAATGCGCACGCGTTACCCCCCCCCCCCCGATAAAAAGTAAGAGTAATTATTTCTAATAGTATTATCCAAAATAACCCTAGACGCGTCTAATTACGGAATGTCCAAGTATTTGCCTGATTAATTTTCAACAGTATGTACAATTTGATAGTTTCAGAAGCCACCTTGAAACCAGAAGTGACGCCATATATTCGGTACAAGAACGAATAACCCAACCAATGGAAGCTTTAGATGAAGCAGTGAAAAGAGCAGGAGATTTCTTCAGTCCAGACGGTACTCAACACATAAACATTGGTACAGCTTTATCATTATGGTACAGGGAGATCAAACGGGTTGGCATGAAAACCAACACACAATTCGCCTTTCATTTACTAGAGGTCCATACCAAATATTGTAGATGGCCTTGTTGTAAATCCAAACCAAAGAAGAACGACTGCGAGCTATTTCCGCCGTTGTGCCCAGGCAGCACCACTAAGCTGATATCGCCATCCACTTCATGTCAGAGGAAGACAGAGACTTATAGAGAAGACGACAATCACACAGGAAACCCATGCCTTCAAAAGCAGACAGTTTCAGTCAGGTCAGAGCTCCTATCAGTGGACAGTAGGCTAGGGGATTATGATGACGAAAACCACGGTGAACAACTTATTGACCATGGCTTTTCTACGGAAATGGGAACAGTCGATGACTGTCTTTTCAGTAGCCCGGAAAGCCAAAATGTCTCTGCTGTTCTGGATGAAGACCACGTCCATGTTACTAATAAACTTGTTACAGCAAGTAGTCATGGAAACGAACGTGCTCATCAATTCCCGGATGATAACGAGGAAAATGGACCCTACCTAGTCAATGACAGTTCCGACCCGGTTCAAACATTAATGGAGGGTAAGTTTAATGGGTTTTTTTTTATGTAAAAATAAAAAAAATCAAAAAAAGAAGATGAAAAAAAGATATATTCTCGAAGAAAATAACTGGGGTATAGAAATAGTTTTTATCGTCCACTCCATACAAATAAGGTTATTACGGGACTGACATGTTTTAATTTTATTTCAATAATTCGCTTTCGCGTAAGGGTCTTTTAGCAGTGAGAGGAAGCCGGATATCCAGGAGATACCCAACGAGGCTAGACAGGCGACCATCCTCCTTGTGACGCAAGTTGACTCAATGACAGGCCTTATGATACAGCACGCAAGTCCTGGATAGAAACCACGCAATTTGCCTCGATAACAGACCTTATGATCTAACGCGCCCGTATTAAACCCCTTGCCTTAGACCAATCCACGTTGACCTAAAGCTAGGCCAAACAGACTTTCTTTAGTAACCGGACCAATGTCTTTTGTGTACAGCCTCGACGGATGTCGTACACGGGACAACACGCTCTTATGCTTTCTTGACCACTTTCCATTTCATATACAGGTTAAACTTTATGTTAAAACTGTCAAATCATTTAAGATATTCACAGTGGCAAAGTAAGAACGCGAGGTCTCTAACTCAATGTTTTCCATAATATTCGAAATTAAAAACAGGAATAATAATTCAATATTGATGAATTTCAATCAATATTGATGTTGTTATCTTGCTGTGAAACTATATTTAAGACACAATTAAAGGCTCAATACCACTCTTGTTGTAACTGAATATTATGTCCCAATCTTTATTCTGGTCAACAAATTGTACTATTTTACAATATTCCAGTTAATTGATGATACAAATTTCATCTTAATACACCTAATTTAAAAAATTGGAAAAATTCAACTAAATGATTTGAAAAGCCTGACGTAAAGCTTTTCAAATGTGACTTGGATTTAAAAATATTTTTGAACCCTTTGGACAAGTAAAATAGGATTTATTGGATAATTTACACAACAGGTAGGACACTAACACATCTAGTACTTAGAATAAGGCTATTTTTTTTTATTTTCTGGAGCTGTCAAGCCAGCAAGAGTGTTATTGTCCATTTAACATTTTGTAATCAGTACATGACTCGTGTACCCTATGGTTTCGGGTGCCATTTTGTAATGAACAAATAAAAGTAATTAGTAAAGGCTGATTCACAAACTACAAACTAATAACTTAAAACACGTGTAAAATGCACTAAGCAGGCGTAAATGACTGCCGTTTAATTTGAACTGTTCACGTACGTAATTGATTAGAAATTACAATATGTACTTTTAGAACCATTTTTTTCTATTTCAAGGTTCCAAAAAAATAGAGTCATACGCCCTTTAAATTCGTTCACTGGATGTTGTACTGTTTGCACTCTCCTTTATTTCTCTTATATTTTATTTTCACATCTTTTTTTGTAGCGGAAGAACAGTCAGAGAAGATGACGTGCATGTTCCCAATTGATGCTGATTGGAATCCACTCTCTAATAATATCAATACTGGTTTTGAGAATGGTCTGGATATTCCCGATTTAAATTGTCCAGACGTAAAAGTTAATAATCTGCGAATAGTCAACAACTCTATCAATGATAATTTTGTGAATATTCCAAATTTTACCGAAATACTTTCCACCGACAGCCCATGTGTCTCATTAAGGGACGTTAAGAAGCAAGATAACGGAAATGCGCAGGTCATTATCGGTCCGAATAGTGTTAAGACCAATCAGAGTAAAGATAGTGGGTGCCTGGTAAAAACAAACAAACCCGTAAATATCTTAAACACTTTTAACCAATTCGGTGTTCTTGAGAACAAAACTGTTAATGTTATTGCAAAAAATTCAAAAAATACCTGTTGGGAACACCCTAGCAGTTTGGTTACTAATAATAGCTCAAACAACAGGAAGACGTGTTTAAACCGTGATAAGAAGGCAGTTAAAATACTTCCTCATACAAACCAGAACTTTAATAACTCAAAAAATGTTATGAATAGAGTTTCAGATGTCAGCTGTTTACAATATTCTATTGTAGATCCGGTTGCAGAGAAACAAAGCTCCATTGTACGTGCCCGTTCAGAAAAATCACGCAAGTTAGATATAAATGAGTCTATTTTTACAAATCGTGACCACATTTGTAATACTAATGATGTTTGTCACAAAGATACAACCCACAAAAATATTGGGAGTTTACCTAGTGGAAATGGGATTCCCAAGACATTTAAAATGGCTATACCTGAGAAATCAAAGACGATGAGCAAGTCGTTAGTAGCAATGATACTTGAAGGGAAATTCAGCGAAAAGGAATATTGGGAAGTTCTCAGATCTTCGGATAACAAACAAAAGCAAATCCAATTTTCTCCCATCGACTCCCGAGAAAATGTGACGGTCCGTGTAGACGAGATTGGAATGAGCCCTACAGTAAAAACCGAAAACCTTTCTGACCAATTAAAAGAAAGTTTTAGTGCCAGTCCCGGCTCACCTGTGTCAAGTTCTGACACTTTTGATTTGCCAGACGTTCGACGTCATAAGGAAAATGATGTCAATCCTGTTGACCAACTCAACGACCTCTGCCCTCTGACTCCTGTGTCCTATCCGGTTACAGTAGTTGCCAGTTGTGAAAACTTGCTTAATGGACCAATTAAACCGTTTAGCCCTAAATGTGTAACCAGTTCTGCGGTGAACGAAATATTTGATAATGACGAGGCGGATCTGGTCACTCCTGAATCTATATGCAATCCCTTTAACGTTCCGGAAACGGAAGTGGACAGTGGTAACCAACCAATGAAAATGCTTAGTTTCAACCCACCCCTTCCAATATGTGTATGTGCAGAAGGTGATAATATTGGCGAGGCTAAAGTTGAACTCCTGAGTTACAAAGTAGTCGAAACTCTTTCTTCTAACCCGCCCGTCCCACAACGTGTATTCAGTTCCACTACCGCTTCAAACGTTCAAATTGAACCAAACGAAACCCATAGTGACAACTCACAATCCCCGAGCTGTGCCTCACATACTAATACTGCTGCTGTGGCCAAAGATGACAATGTTAAAAAATTGATTAATCAACAACATGAAAACTTTAGTTCTGACCTTCTCCTTAGAAAATATGTATCCGATCCAATTTCGGGAATTTGCCCTGGTGTAAACTATTTGCAGTTAGGCAAAGACATACACAGCAAATACAAAATTATTAAAAGGAACAGAATGATTTTTAAAAGAATAAGATACGCTAAACAGGTTTTGATAAAGGCAAACCATCGGCCCGTCAAGAGCTTGCGAGTTCGAAGACCAGTGGTATCCAACCACCAACATCTTATGAAGGGAGATAGTCCTACACAGCTAGATAAACAAACCACAGGTGTAACCGAATGCTTACATATTCCCGATCCGTCTTTTCGCGATATCGCTAGTGCTTCAGATACCTCTGGTGCTCTACCGGATCCAGATATCGCTGTTGATCTACCTCGTCCAGATATTGCTAGTAATCGACCTTCTACAGAAATCGCCAGTGATCTACCTGGTCCAGTTACTGCTAATGATCTACCTGGTCCAGATACCGTTAGTGAACTACCTGGTTCGGATACTGCTAGTGATCTACCTGGTCCAAATACTGCTAGTGATCAACCTGATCCAGATACTGCTAGTGATCTGCCTGTTCTAGATACTGCTAGTAACCCCCCAATTCCAGGGGTTACTAGTGGTCCACCCTGTCCAGATACTGCCAATGAGCCATCTTGTCCAGATACTGCTTGTGGTCCACTTTGTCCAAATACTGCTACTGATTTACCTCCACCAGATATTTCTAGCGATCCACCCTGTCCAGATACGGCTAGAAGTCGACCATGTTCAGACATTATTAATGGTCCACCTAGTCTAGATACTGCTAGAGTGCCACCCTGTCTAGATATTGTTAGTGATCTGCCTTGTCCAGATACTACTAGCGACCCACCTTGTCTAATAATGGATATTGATCCACCTCGCGTAGATATCGCTGATGATCCACCTTGTACAGATGTTGCTAATGGGCCAACTACTAGCACCCCACGATATCCAGCGACTACTAGTGTTCCACCTTGTCCAGATGCTGGTAGTGGTCCACCTCGTCCAGATATTCCCGGGGAAGTTCAGTTAACCAATGTCATATACGAGGAAACCTATCTAGACAATGGTGATTTAGTGTTGGATCCGCGGTTCATTGACGTCAGAGAGGAAACAATTTTAACGGCAGAATTTTACCCCGAACATTTGGAGTTATCTGCCCATATCCGACAGAATTATCACACCAACGAGAACCTGGCAAAACGGAAACATGTAGGATACAAAATCAGAAAATTACGAGGTAGAAAATCTTATTCTTGTGATTTCTGTGCCATACGTTTCTCCACGTTAAAAGATATTCAAAACCATATAAGGGAAAATTATGCAGATTGTGGGAAGGAACCCGAGATTGCGTCATCACCTGCACGAGAACAACACAATCAGGAACTAGACGGCAAGGAGGAATCCGAAAATGGGGACAAAAGAATTAAAAGGTCTTATATATGTGAGTTTCTGTTCTGTGATCATAGTTTTACAAAGAAGAAAGATTTAAAACAACACGTGAAAGATCAACATGGTTCCGGGTTGAAACGCCCCTCAAAGAAGTTGACCCCGCAGGTGACCTTTCCTTGTGGTGTGTGTGAAAAGAGATTCCTGAAGAGGAAGAATTGGTTAATCCATACGAGGCGACATATTGATCCCGACTACAAAATACCCAGACCTAAGGTAGCGTTCAAATTTAAGAAGACGAAATCCTTTAAACAAACATGCATCCACAAACATGCGATCTCGCAACGCAAACGCACAAAAATGTTACGAACATATTATTGTGATTTTTGTGAATTCAGTTTTACGAAGAAACAGCTTTTAACAGCTCATCTAAATGAAGATCATCATTGGAAGACCCCTGTTAAAAATAAGACAGTTAAGACCTACTATTGTAACTTTTGTGAACTCAGTTTTATAAAAAGAAGCGCTTTAACAATTCATCAGACAGATGCTCATCCGTCAGCTAATGTTGAAACGAAATTTCAGAGTAGACAAAATGCTCAAAAAGGCGTTAATCGCAAACCCAAGACGATCAAGACCCTTCACTGTAACTTTTGCGAACTGAGTTTTATGAAACGAAGCGCGCTGTCCATTCACATGACAGAGGCTCATGGGTATTTTGAAAAGGTTGCACCTAAAGCAACCAAGACACATTATTGTAACTTTTGCGAATTGAGTTATATGAAACGAAGCGAGTTGTCCATTCACATGGATGAAGCTCATGGGTATGTTGAAAAAGTTGCACCTAAAACCACTAGGACACATTATTGTAACTTTTGCGAACTCAGTTTTATGAAACGAAGCCTATGGACAGATCATATGAGGGAAGCGCATCAGGAAAATGGAGGATCGTGTCAAAAGACAACCTCTCTTGATATTAAAGGATTCAAGAAGCAACATTGTCATTATTGCGGATTAAGTTTTATAAAACGGGACGCTTTGGCGATTCACATAAGGAAATCCCACCCGTCCGTTGAAAATAGAACACTAAGTGAAAAGGTTGTACCTAAGGCTATTTCGCGTAAAGGTAAAACAACAATCACGCACCATTGTAATTATTGCGAATTAAGTTTTATGAAACGAGGTGATTTGGCAGTTCATACGATCGAAGCCCATCCGTTCACAAATATAGAAAATAGACACATACACGAACCTGGCTTAACTAAAAGTAACACTCCAGCAGCTAAAAAAGCGGGTACACAATATTGTAACTATTGCGAATTAAGTTTCATGGGCCGAGGCGAGTTGGCGGTTCATACAATAGAAGCCCATGATTTCTCTGATAAAGAAATGACACCACTAAACGAAAAGAGCGCAACTCGGTCGACAGAAAGTTACCCACCTGTAGACAATGGTGGTGAGCCACCACATAAAAAGTTGAAACCCTCAAGGACAGAAAGGACAACGTACCATTGTCACCTTTGTGAATTGAGCTATGTGAATAAACGCGATTTATCGGACCACCTGCACGACGATCACCAGATTTCTCAAATTAAAAGAGTTAAACCCACAACCTTCCAAAGCAATCGAAGAAAAAAACAAGTAAAGAAGCATGTTTGCGTTTTTTGTGATACTCTTTTTGCCCAGAAGAGTCAACTGGCCGATCATCTAAAAGATGTTCATCAGTTAACCTTGAAGTCGACTGATGATTCCGAGAACGAATCCGATTCATCAAAAGATGTTCATCAGTTAACCTTGAAGTCGACTGATGATTCCGAGAACAAATCCGATTCATCAAAAATTAAACAGTTCGAAATCTTCCCTTGCGAATTTTGTGAGCTTCGTTTCGGCAAGAAGGGGATGATAAAGCATCTTCGTTCAGTTCATTCATCCAGTGCTGGGCTTGAAGCAGCTGTGAGCAAATGTAGGAAGGTCAGGAGAAAAAGGGAAGTTGTAACACACTTTTGTAAGCTCTGTGAGTTAAGTTTTATCAAGAAAAAGGAGCTTCTCGTCCACACAAAGGAATGCCACAGAGTAAAAAGGTTATTAAAGTGTGATTTTTGTGAAGAACAATTTTCCAAAAAATTACAATTGACTGACCATGTGAAACAAAGTCACCCACCTGTGGTAAATCTCAGTATCATCACTGGCGAGACAGACGGAGTTCCGGATACACTTGAGCGGGATTACGAGGTAATCGGAGAAATCCGAATCAAAGACCGTAAAATATTTTCGTGCGATTTCTGTACTTTTATGTTCATTAAACAAAAACATCTGATTGCGCATTTGAAAGAGCATCACCAGGACTGCCAGTATCAGTGCGGAGTCTGCGGTAAACTCTTTACCAACAAGTCCAGGTGGAAGACTCATCTTAAGCTCCACGAACCAGATCCACAGTTTAAATGCGGTGATTGCGAGAAGGCTTTTCCATTCTGCCATATGTTAAACGCACACAGAAAGCACGTCCACGAGCATGTAAAATCACACCAGTGCCATTTCTGTGGAAAGCAATTTTCTACGGGAAGAGTCCTAAGAGATCATTTGCTCATTCATACCCAAGAACGACCACATGTTTGCCAGTTCTGTAACAAAGCCTTCACCCAAGCCTTTAATCTCAAGCGCCACATGTGGACACATACCGGGGTTAAGCCATACAGCTGTGATATTTGTTTAAAGTCGTTCCGCGGTTCCACGGATCTGAAGCGTCACCGACTCATCCACAACAGCCTAAAGCCGCACCAGTGTGAACTTTGTGAATTGTCATTCAGACAGTTGAGTCACCTCAACACGCATCGGAAAAGCCAACATATGCGCAAAGATCCCTTTTCTCTGTAAATAATAAAAGATTTAAATGCATTTTATTTTTATTACTACCGGGAATTTTACACATGCGATGTAAAGGTGCTAATGACTTTGATATAAGTCAACCCTACCACTGTGTCAACAGTCTTGCTGTGTTTGTATGTTGGCCAGCCAATCTACACATGGCTGATGTCATCCGTGGAACAAATTGCATCAGAGGTTATTTTGTTATGTTTTAGTGACTCATTTAGAAAAAAAGAAATTCGGAGTCCAAATAAGGACGGGAGGCGTGGTCAAATCCAGGAATGTCGACTATCTACCAAACGTTGCTAATATCTCTAAAACATCTTAACAAACAGCTCTTTGTAATATATTATAGTAGCAGAGTCGGCACCCACGAGCATCTGTTTAGTTGTCACTGTCACAGGGGCGGAAGTCGGTTTGTTTGCGTTTAGTTTCAGTATTGGCTTAAACTATCGGTAGTTGAACACAAGGTTTGCACAACCAAAAAAGATAATTTTCTTTTTGACACAAATCACAGAAATCTAGCCATTTTAAGATAGTGTGTTCCGCTCATCTCAGTTATGGGGGATTGGATGGCCGAATGGTTAGCACGTGCGTGCTGTATCATAAGGCCTGTCATTGAGTCAACTGGCGTGGTTTCGAATCCCCGGGTGTACGTTACAAGGAGTAGGGACGCCTGTCCAGCCTCGTGGGTTTCTCCGGGTCCTCAGGTTTCCCCCCACTGCTAAAGACCCCTACGCGCAAGCGAATTATTGAAATAAGTGTTAATCAACAACCCTAATAGTATTTAACAGCCATTCACAAGTTATAATACATATATATTAGTAGCCTTCATTTAACGGTCAATCATATAATATCATCTAATAATATTGACGTGATGTCTTACTAACTAACTTAATTACAGAATGTGTGATACACCTGCCAATACTATTGTCTTACAAATGGTTACTTAGAAAACAATCGAGAATACCTACAATTAGATGTACTACGCGCTATCAATGGGGCGGTTAGAGGTACCAGCCATGCCTTACTTTATAGACTGGGTTTATTCTACTCTCGGTCGGAAAGACACTGACGTCATAAATTAAAATGTATAAAATCAGTACCAATCGCCCGCCATCTTAGTCCCTCCAGCTACAACCTCGCACCATCTTAACCTCTCTGACAGATTAGACCATTCGGCTACAACCTCGCACCATCATACCTCTGACAGATTAGATCCTTCCTCTACTCCTAGTATTTATACTCTTAGAAATAAAGATAAAATAAAGGAAATCAGGTACAGAAATGAACGTTACTCTGAATCCTTCATCCCTTCAAGTACACGAGAATGGTACAAACTTAACGTTGAAATTAGAAACTCTCCACCCCTTACTATCTTTGGAAATTCACTACAAAATAGATACCATCGTGCCACTGTATTACTATCTAGGGAAAAGAAAATTACAAATAATACATTGGCCATAAATTTCTCAGACACGTCCATGATAGACCTACTTGCCTCTGTGGTCACAACTTCGACTATCCCGAACATTAGTTGCTCGTATGCTCCTTACATTCAGATGCAAGAAAACATACAATCCAAAACCTGCCATCTATATTATATACTAATATTTGTGACTGTCGTTTGTCTGTCTGTCTGTTCGAGGTTGGCGGCTACACTAGGTCTGCCACGAGTCTGAAATTTGGGGTATAGGGGTAGCTCGGACCGGGGAGTAACATAGGCCAGGTGGCGTTAGTCTACCACTTCCGGTTTCGGGGTTATGACCCCCGAGCGAAGCCGGGTATCCTGCTAGTATAATTATAAAACTAAGATAAACAGACATATCTTCCAACAAGTTCAACAGTTTATTCATATATCAAAAAGATGTAAAACTAAAAAAAAAACAATTGTTAAGTTATTTTTACCCCCGCACACCGTAAAATCATCGTATATCCTCGACTCTCCCAACTGGTTTGTGAGATTTGGAGGTAATGAAATGAAATGAGTTTACGTCCTACAGTACTGCTCTGCTCCGACAATGTGCTATGGGTAATTATGCCCGAACGCTGCACGGGCCTTACCATACCCAACAACCAATATCAAACACTACTTCCAGAATAGATCTCTACCTGTTACAAAATTAATAAAAATATCATTCATTATATATTTGTTTAATTGTGTACCGGTATATAATGTATATTTATAATGTGTACACGTATCTAAATCAGAAAGAGGGGTTACACAAAGGCATAGCCTCTTCCCCAATCCTAATTCAGATATATATTGAATAAAAATATTGTTTATAAAAAAAGGACTCATGTGGTGGAACTCTGTCCAGAAAATTTAAACCAACCTTCAACAGAGTTAGTTTTTTTAAATCCCAATTTTAGATGTAAATTTATAGATATTACATTGGACGGTGCTATACCCGAGGTCAACACATCGGCGCCATTTTCAAATATGGTTTTACACAGATTAGAAAGTATTATTTTAGAATATCCTTTGCCTCTTTTCTCCGGTAGAATTCTAAGCATACCGATGGCACCATAATGTGTTTCTAGCATATATCCTATTAATGAATCATCGACGTCATAAAGAGCTAGAGTTTTATAATTATCTATGAGATAATTAAAATAGATCGGTTTAACTTCATCCGAATATTCCCAGTTAGCCATTAACGTGTCTACCATGTCATGTGGAATTGGTCTTAAAGTCATCCCATCAGGAACTGGGCTGTTTGAAAATAAAATAAAATGAACGAATATTAAAATACCATGAAATACATTAATATATATAGATATTAAATCACGTGGCTAAGTGGGTAAGACGCTAGCTCGCTAGACTGGAGGTCGGGTGTTCGATCCCTGCATTAGCAGAGAAAGTTCATCCAGATTTTCCGGCGTGGTTCTCCCTTGTCAGTGATGCAGGACGGAGGGGCTGACAATTCGGATGGGACGAAAAACCGAGGTCCCGTGTACACATTGGCGTGCACGTAAAAGATCCCTTGGCAGTTGGAATTCGATATAAGAGTAGGTCGTAGTGCCGCTATCCGGGCAAAATTTCCCTCATAGCACACTGTATGGCGCATGCCCGTCTTCATTAGCCCAGGTTAGGAGCAGAACAGTAGGACGTTAAACTCCATTTCATTTCATTTCATTTCTCAACCTATAACTTTAAATAGTCCCATGATCTTAATTGGCATAACAACATTTTTCAGCGTGGTTCCTCCTTGTCAGTGGTGCAGGACCGAGGGCTCGGCAAGGGACAATATATGGGACGCAAAACCGAGGTCCCGTGTACACATTGGCGTGCACGTAAAAGAACCCTTGACAGTTAGAATTCGATATAAGAGTAGACCGAAGCGCCGTTGTCCGGGCATATTTTCCCTCATAGCACACTGTACGCCTATAGAACAAGCGTAGCTCCCTGTTGTATTTTTTTGGCATCCTATACAATGTTATAGAATGCTACATGGAAACGAATTCATTCCGTATTTTTTTCACACGGCTATAGATTGAGAAATAATTTCCAATAGTTTTGTATAGGATCAGTAGATGAGTTTTTTTCTAAGTGTAATATCCGATATAGAATTCGATAGAATATTGTAAGAAATTATAGAAAACAAAATGAACCCATAGATTTATAAGTGCTGCTATAGAATTGGTGGTAAAAACTATAGTTTTATATAGAACTAACTCAATGTGTATTCTCAAGTCAGTTGTCTAATTCTATAGTTTTCTATAGATTTTGTGGTACAAACTATAGAACTGATATGTATCCTCAAGTCAGTTCTGTAACCCTGTAGATTTTGTGGTAAAAACTATGTTTTTATATATATAGAACTAATATGTAATCCCAATTCAGTTGTGTGACCCTGTAGTTTTCTATAGATTTGGTGGTAAAAACTATAGTTTTCTATATATTTGACGGTAAAAACTGCAGTTTTCTATAGATTTGGCGGTAAAAACTGCAGTTTTCTATAGATTTGATGGTAAAAACTGCAGTTTTCTATAGATTTGGCGGTACAAACTGCAGTTTTCTATAGATTTGGTGGTAAAAACTGCAGTTTTCTATAGATTTGGTGGTGAAAAACTATAGTTTCTATAGATTTGACGGTAAAAACTGCAATTTTCTTTAGATTTGGTGGTAAAAACTAGTTTTCTATAGATTTGGTGGTAAAAACTGCAGTTTTCTATTGATTTGGCGGTAAGATAAACCATATAAGTATACTCACTGAATTATAAGATCTTTAGCGTTTAAACTAAAACATGTTAATTGAAACATGTTATTACTAAAATCAGATTGTTGTTTATCTTCTATAACTTTCTGTACACTAACATAATCTTTCTCTTGTGGAACTGTAATATATAGAAATAAATCACGACAGAATTAGAGACTATATGAAACAGCATATATTCACGTTTGTCGTTCATTTCGGGACTAACATATGGTATATATAGATAGAAATGGGGTGTAACGTCCACTTGACACAAACATATAGTTCTACATAATGGAAAGGGTCGATTGGCTAGTCTCTATCATCCAGAAAATATTCTACGAAAATTAGTCTGGATGCGTTGTCAACATTAAAGAATAATAGGTCAGCGGCTAGATTATCCGGTCTTTTACATTATCATAGAAAGTCTTCTAAGGGAGGTAACTAGTCCTAAAACAAGATGTTGACGCCCATGAAATTAATTTTAGAATGCCATGTTAAAAAATCCATTTGATTGCATTGCCAGTTCAATATCCAACACTCTTAATTTTTTTTTATTGCAAAATTTCTCTCTTCATGGGCCAAATATGTTTTTTAAATTAATCTTAATTCTTCGTCACGATTCGTGTTTGTTTATATAATGAAAGAAATCTGGGATCTATTGCGGGAAGAGGCGCAACTCTTACTTGACTTGGCCAAAGATACTGGATAATCAACCACATTAAAAACCAAACTCCCGGTTACGCATGGGCAATGGACTTTTCGCCGAATGTTGACAACGGTCCCAGACCCTCCGTACGGTGATGACAGGGAGGTTCTGGGTGACCGAGACTATCGATTTACAAGGTCTGTGGTTAAATAATGATAATGATGCCTTGTTGGAGGCAGACCACCATTAAATTTCACCATCTCGGTACCCTAATTGTAGTTCGTCTATTTATAGCAATTCTCTCTCTCTCGTTTTCCTCCCCTTTTGCATGTCCATTTTTGTTGATTTTTTGGTCTAAAATGGACGAAGAGGGTTTGAATTAACATTTTCTGCCAGGTTTTTGTAAATATTCATGATTTTGAGGCGGAAGGATAACAGGGTTATCAGGTTGGCTACGGCCATATGTACGGCAACTAGTTACATGTTTTTAGTATGCTTCTTCAAGTTTGTGTATCTCAAAATTTTGATGGTCAACCTCGTACAAATTTTAGTGCAAAGACATGACCATTGGTTCCTCTGTCTGTAGTGAAAAGCATTCAGCCCAACGAAATTTTGGGGAAAAGTTGGAGGTGGGCAAAGAGGCCAGAACTAACATTGAAGTTAATGGGGAAATTAATGGTGGTCTGCCTCCTGTTGATCTGGGAAAAATTACCTCCCTGGTTTTGATCAATGACGTCATTTGTTTTGACGGCTAAAATGAAACTTTTAAAATCAAACGCGGAGGGGGGGGGGGGTCATTTCTACCGCTGTTAAGATAATAAAGTCTCGATTATCCATTTTTAAATTAAATCATTAACTGTCAGTCCTTTTTTAAATGTGTTGAAAATTTCAGCATCCGAAGGCATCGAGGGTTGAAAATGGTTTTTAATTGTAAGTTAATTAATAATTTAAATAACATTTAAGGCATAAAGACAGACCTGCAACGATTTAGCTCTTTAGATATACATGTTTAAATAAACACTCTTTTAATATTCACCATATGTTTGGCGCAATATAGCCCGGTTGGAGCTGACGTGCCATAAAACCACATTTCATTTCATTTAAAGTTACAATTTCATATTTTTAAGTTATATTTTTAAAATGTATTAAAATATTGCCCTAAAATAGATGGTATCTATAAACAGTCCTACCTTGTTAAATAAAAATCATATTAATCCTATAATACACTATTGCCAGTTGAGAAATTGGCAAAAATATCATTTTCAACTTCAAATTCAAACGTTTGAAGATAGCTATTCCATGGTGGGGAATAGGAAAACAAGGGAGGTAATTGGGAGGTAATTGTGTTATTATTTCCGGTGTGAAGATTTTTAAGTGTGAGAAAGATCGTATAATAGTGAATTGACAACCTATTGAGCAAAAGACATAAAAATAATTATGTTTTGACTTTCTTAGAAAATATGAAATTGTAACTTTAAATTAACATACCTATAAACATGCCATTTGTACTCCAATCTACTGTACCCTCTGATGTTAAAACTTGTTCTAGGTTTTTATTATTCTTCGTAAATATCAAATAATTCTTCAGATACAACATATGCTAAAACATACAAATGTTATTGGCAACTGAAAGCTGATTGTATGCGATATCACTTTGGTGGAAGCGGAGGTAAAATAAAGCTATTTCACACACTGATAGCTGAACGATTGAAATTGGCTGGTCGTTTGAGTACCAAGTTTGTTATTTCTTATATTTTAAACTTTGAATGACGAACCCGCCGTTCAGTTACTTGCCAAATAATGAATTAACCAGCGGCTGCCAGGCAGGATACGCCCACATCTTCGACAGATGGAAAGAAAGTGATTTTTCCTGCAATCAAGGGCCATAATTCAAGAAATTACAATTCGATATGCGCGAATATTGACAGGAACCGAGATCTTTGGGTTATAAACTTACATTTCAAGTTTCATCAAAATCGGATAAAAATTGTGACCTCTATAGGGTCCACAAGCTACAAACGCGATTTTTCGTACAATCAGGGGCCATAATTCAGGAAGTTACGTTGCGATATGCGCGAATATCGAAAGGAACCGAGATCTTTGGGTTATAAACTTACATTTCAAGTTTCATCAAAATCGGATAAAAATTGTGACCTCTATAGGGTCCACAACCTTGATATACCATATTTTTACGCTATTTGAGAACGAACGGCGGCCATTTTGTCTGTCAGTTTTGGGCCGATTTTCACGAAATTCGAACTCAGTCGTCCTTAGGGCGTAACGGTGATATAATAATAGTTTTTTTTAAAGCGGATAAACATTATGACCTCTATAGGGTCCACAAGCTAAAAACGCGATTTTTTGTACAATCAGGGGCCATAATTCGGGAAGTTACGTTCTGCGAATATGTGCGAATATCGAAAGGAACCGAGATCTTTGGGTTATAAGCATACATTTCAAGTTTAAACCAAATCGGATAAAAATTGTGACCTCTACGGTGTTCACAAGCTAAAAACGTGAATCCATGAAGTTACAGTCCGATACATGCCAATTTCGAAAGGAACCGAGATCTTAGGGTGATAAGCCTATATTTCAAGTTTCATTGAAATTGGATAAAAATTGTGACCTGTAGACTGTTCACAAACAATTGTGGACGGACGGACGGACGGACGGACGGACAGGGGCGACGACAAATATACGTCCACATGAAAATGTGGGCGTATAAAAACTATAAATACAGTTTGTGTCACGTTTACAAAAATCATGTAACGTATACTTTGGGGGCTAAATCTATTTGTTAAGGCCAAGTCAATTTTGGTCAAGGCCGCTGAGATGTAACTAAGATTAGGGGACGTGATTGTTGGCGAGATTGTAGGTTAGGGTTAGTGTAAGCATTGGGTCTAGGTCCGGGGTAGGGTTAGGGTTGGGATTAGCGCTAGCCCAGTTTATATCTCATGACCTATGAAGAAAAATTGAGCTGGCCTTATCATTTAGCACTGACCCAATTTGAATCATGTAACGTACCTGTTGTAAACCCACCGGTTTAGCTACAACCACATTAAACATGGGCCATTTATCTAAAATTATTTCTATTTCCGGTATTTTCTCTCTCATATAACTCTCCAATAAATGTATGATCTGAAAAACAATCAGACAAAATAACAACATTTTGTGAATATGTTGTACCAGTTGTTTTTATGAGAAGTTTTAATGAGTTTACTGAATATGTTGAAGTTTGATCACTTTCAGGGAGCGGGTGGGGTGGGGGTGGCAGAATGTGTCATACGGTCTGTCATTGAATCAACTGGCGTGGTTTCGAATCCCCGGTTGTACGTGACAAGGAGTAGGGTCCTCCGTTTTCCTCCCACTGCTAAAGATCCCCACGCGCAAGCGAGTTATTAAATTAAAATTAAATCATATATTAGTCCTTAAATGACCTAGTTTGTGTCGAGTGGACGTTAAGCCCCATTCATATACTGGGGACACCTACATATCATTATCATGTACTGGCGCGGTCTTGTGTGGTGGGGTGGGTGGGGTGGGGAGGATTGCTCAATGAGTGGCGGTGTACAGTCTATGATTGCCATGTCCGGATAGCGGCGACCTGACCTTAGATGTAGGTGCGTCTCGATGGCCTCTACTACATACTGATCTGTCCGGTTGTAGTGGACCCTATGACGTCAGACATTTGATTAACCAATCAGCGTTGATGTTTCTAGTGAGTTACCAACAGTTCCGTGAACCTCACGCCAAAACGTCGCTGTAACAGACCGTTTCACGTCACCCAGAACACGCATTATATACTATTCAAAAAAAGTAGGGGATATTTGATTTTTAAGTGTTATTAAAGTCACCTAATGAAACTGACGAAGAAACAAATGACAAAATGAAATGAAGTTCACATTCATCGATTTATTCCAAATGATCGTTAGACTAAGTAAGGCACAGACTGACCATTATAAGGGTAAAATGATACCCGGGGTCAAACAGCAAAGTTACCACAGCATCACAACCAAGTCAGTAACGGGTAAATCCTCCTCTGTTTGCCAAACAAGCATTGATCCGACGTGGCATACTCCTAATGAGACGTCTAAGGTCATTTTGGTCCAGATTGTCCCATTCCTGTTGCAACGCAGCAGCAAGTTCTTGGACATTGGCAGGACGTTGTTGACGTTGACGTAACCTCTGTCCAAGCATGTCCCAGACATGCTCGATGGGGGAGAGGTCGGGATTCAGTGCTGGCCAAGGTAATGTGGTGATGTTCTGTTGTTGGAGGTAACCTGTAACGATCCTGGCCCTGTGACATCTTGCGTTGTCATCCTGGAAGATGAAACGGCGGCCATGACGTCGTGCGAACGGCACAACATGGACTGCCAAGATGTTGTCCCGGTAGTACTGGCCTGTAACACGCCCTGCAACAACATGTAAAGCCGTTCTTCCAGCAACAGTGATGCCTCCCCACACCATAACAGAACCACCCCCAAATCGATCATGTCTGATGACGTTAACGTCTTGGAAGCGCTCGTTTCGACGACGCCACACCCTCCTACGTCTGTCCAAAAAATCAACAGTGAACCTTGACTCATCTGAAAACATCACATTGCTCCAGCGTCGATTATCTTAGTGTTGACGATCCCTACACCAACGACGTCTTGCCTGAATGTGATGATCTCTCAAACAAGGGATCACGCGAGGACGTCGGGCGCGAAGGTGACCACTATGCAGTCGATTCCGAATCGTCTGGCCACTCACTCTCACACCAGTGTCTGTTTGAAGACGAGCGCTGATCTGATTTGCTGTGATGACACGATTTCTCAAGGCCAAGGTACGGATAAATCGATCCTGGGCTTGAGTTGTCGCCCTTGGTCGACCTGAGCGTGGTCTGTCCTGTACAGATTGTGTATCACGGTATCTGGACCATAGCCTGCTTATGACAGACTGAGAAACATTCATCGTCCGCGCCACAACCGCCTGTGTTGTGCCGATCTGTAGCATGCCAAGGGCACGTAACCTTTCATTTTGGGTAAGCCGACGCATATCAAAATTTGTTTTCTGGTCACTAAAACAATTAAACTGATGTTTCCACCCTGGAATTCAATGCCACAATGACTGTAACATTCAAAGTCAGAGTCGTGCAAATCTTGGGTTGGACCCCCATGATGATCCCAAGCATCACCTGCATTCCATGCGGTAGCTATTGGTGCGTTTGGGCGTCACATGTAACTGGAAATGTTTCTTCTGTTAGGTTCTATAGTGACTTTTTTCGTAGTCATTTGCATATTTTAGTATTATGCCCCCAAAATCAAATATCCCCTACTTTTTTTGAATAGTATATAACAACTCTTCCAGATCTTAGTGTAGTAAAGACAAGTTAAACGAAATTTTGAACAATAAAAAACGAAACGAAATAGGATTTGTGTTGTAATCAGATTGAGTGGGTGAGCAAGAGAGAGAGAAATGGGGTTTAACGTCCACGCGACACAAACTAGGTCATTTAAGTACTAACATATGGTTTAATTTTATTACAATAATTCGCTTGCGCGTAGGGGTCTTTAGCAGTGGTAGGAAACCGGAGGACCCGAAGAAAACCCACGGGGTGGGACAGGCTACCCTACTCCTTGTCATGTACAACCGGGGATTCGAAACCACGCCAGTTGACTCAATGACAGACTTTATGATACAGCGCGCACGTGCTAACCATTCAGCCATCCAATCCCCCCATAAACAGTAAGAAAATGTAGGACTTAAAACACAGCCTTGCTTAACTCCCTTGGTAGAATCGATGTTATTCGAAATGTACTTTTATGGTTAGAACTAATCATTAAGGTCAACTGCGGATATGGTCCAAGGTCCTGAGATGTAAACAGGACCAGCGCTAACCCTAGTCCTTAGCCTAGCCCTAACCCACAATCTCGTCAACAATCGCGTGCAATAGCCCCATTTGCAATATATTTCTAAGGTTACAACAAATTATTAAGGCCACCTGCAGATATGGTCCAAGGTCCCGAGATATCAACAAGGCTAGCCCTAACCCTAGTCTAGCCCTAACCCACAGTCACCTGCAATAACCCTATTTGCATCTTGGCGACCTTAAATAAATCTGCAAGCGGGCTTGATATTTAGATCTAAACCAGGAAGACATAGATAAACGTGAGATTGAAGATAACGATATTTCTTATAAGCAGGCCCCTGTGAAAAAAATTGTCGACCAGAGATATACATTATCCGTCAATTTTACAGCACCCCTGAGAACACTTCCCGCCCCCTTGTTGCTATGAGCTAGTTACGACCCTGCTTGTAAGATATAGATAAAATACAGCTCACTTGATGGGCGCCGACATAATCTTTGTTCAATTCATTCAACAAAAGATGATAATCCGGTTGTTGGAGTATAGTTGTCATACTTATAAAGATACGTCTTTCACGTGAAGTAGACTATGACGTGTCTAAACATACAGTCGTAAACTGATATATGCAGAGAGTCGTCGTGTTTATTTAGGGCACGGTTTCGCAAACCTAAAAAAGCTGTAGAGGTCAAAGGTCAATAGAGATAATATTTTGTATAGCGAATCTGACTCTCTTGCAGCCGGTGCACCACCCCAGAGCCCATGCTTGGAATATCATCTGCATGGGCAATACTGAAGCAGAGGAAAAGTTGCATTGAATTAAACTAAAAACTGTACTTGATTAAAGTTTTGTTATAGTGTATCTTTGTATATATTTCATGATATAATTTTAGTTAAAGTAGTAATCGACCAATGTCCGAATTGATATCTCACTAATCTTTCAAGTCTTTTAACTGTTTGGGTTTATACTTAATATAACGATATATATTACGTAATTATAATTAACACGCGTTCTTGGTATGTTGATATCTTCTTCTGTATTTAAACATCTGTTTCCTATGTACAATTTAACATCTCTGATCAAATATTATTATATAATTATTTTAATCCTAAGCTTGTAAATATATATTCTAAAATTCTACTGTAACTTTAGTCTGGTGACCGGCTCGCCCTAGCGATACCCATCTCGTTATTGTGACCGTTAGCCAGTTTTGGACAATCGTTTATTAAAAGTACAATTTGAACTATTTATCTGAGTTTTCGTCGTTAGTGTTGAAATAATCTACAACCCCCAGAAACAGCACTTCGGCAAGATAACTACAATTAAAACTGACCAATATTGAATTTTAATTCGGGTTTTAAATTTCGAATATTATGAAAAATATGGAGTTGGAGATTTAGCTCCTTTAAAATGCAATCGAAACAACAACAAAATTATTGTTGACCAAAATCAAAGACGGAGAGCCATTTAACACGTCACCATGGCTTATCAAGGATATAGACCAACATTAATGTTGTTATTTGACCGTGAAAATTCTAAAATTGGCAATCGAATCGCGTGCCAAAATGTTTTCGAACGCCATTTGTAATGGGGCTACTCGTTGAAGAAGTATAAACATATCCCACAGGAGAATACGACCGGAGTAGACTGGAACAGCCAGACACCAAAGACTGCCATTCAATTGGGACTCTTCGCGTATTTCGCCGAACATAACTGATTAGAAATAACGGTTTATATACATTCATATTACATTATCATATGCGTTGTGACCCATAGCTTTCCGTTTCTAGTTGCCAAAGAATACAAATTTAGCTGCTTTAAGCCGTGAGAAATTTGAGATTTAACGAAAAATACATATGGGGCATCGTTACTTTAAACCACAAACACTGAAATGAAATGAAATGAGGTTTAACGTCCCACTCCGACTGGGGTAATGAAGACAGGCATCCGCCATACAGTGTGCTATGAGGGAAATTTTGCCCGGTCAGCGGCACTACGACCTACTCTTATATCGAATTCCAACTGTCAAAGGGTCTTTTACGTGCACCGTAGCTCCCCTCCCACGCACATACTGTATCGTTTAGTTATATATTTGGAGTAAAACATATTCATACTAGTTTAAATTATTTGGATTCCTACCCCAAGCCATAGAAATTTGTAGGGTCCATTATTCAGCTTGTATTCTTGTTACTCGCTGTCCAAATACCATAGATAAATTCCTTGGTTTTTCTATGCCTACTTCTTTTTCCGCTGTTTAATCGCAGAGTCTTTTAATAGCAAGAAACTGCCCAGTGCCGTAGACATTTATTGTGCGTTTAAGTCTCTGACTGCGTTCCACTACATCGTCCTTCCATCAAGCGCGCTCTACGTCGCTCCAGCGGTCAGTTAGTGATACCCTTAAATGTTTGACCTGTGCGCGCCACATAGGTGTTTTTCTAGTAAGACTTGAATGTTTCGATTTTCCAAATATACTTTTATTACGAAATACTTTCGTGGAAATTCAGCTTTAAGTATTAAGACGCGCCTGATAGATTTGAAGTGGATCCCAATGTCTCCATATCTTATTATGTGTATTTTAAGTTATTTATATATGGGTGTTTTTTTGTTTATAAATGGATGAACATTTAGTATTCGTGGAATTTATTTGTGTGGCTATAATAATCTGCGATTACACTAGCTGGTAATTATTATATGTTATCTCATATATAGTGGGGTTGTTTACTTGAAAAATCTTAAAGTGGTTTGAATGCGGATGTAAAATATAAAAAAAAGAATACCGGTATTTACACAAGAACTGTTGAAAAATAGTAAGAGGGGTGTTCTCAATTATCAGACAATTGGGACTTTTCCCGGTAAAGGCGAGCGTGGTCACCATACCCTATTTGGTATTTACACAAGGGAAGCTGTAAACCAATCAAATTAAAATACAGATCTATATTTCGTTTCGTTTTTTTATACTTTCGATGGCCTACACTACATGAAGATCTGACCAGTTGTTTTGGGAGGTCGCGTCAGAGGTAATACTAACGGCTTTTGATCCTATGACGTCAGACATTTGATTAACCAATCAGCATTGGTGTTACTGGTGGATTACCCACAGTACCGTGCAAAGCACGCCTAAAGCTCGCCGTAACATACCGTTTCATTGGCTAATCACTCACATTATTCAGAACACGTCAATGATAACAACTCTTCCAGATCCTAGTGTAGTAAAGACAAGTAAAACGAAATTTTGAACTATAAAAATGAAACGAAATAGGATCTGTGTTTTAATCAGTGAGAGGGGTGTTCGCAAGTGTCTCATTACAAACTTTAGGTACAACCTCAAGAACCGCTAGAGGCAGCAGTAAAACTCTAGGTACAAACTCAAGGACAGTTAGAGGCATTACAAACTTTAGGTACAACCTCAAGAACCGCTAGAGGCAGCAGTAAAACTCTAGGTGCAAACTCAAGGACAGTTAGAGGCATTACAAACTTTAGGTACAACCTCAAGGACAGTTAGAGGTATTACAAAACTTTAGGTACAAACTCAAGGACAGTTAGAGGCATTACAAACTTTAGGTACAACCTCAAGAACCGCTAGAGGCAGCAGTAAAACTCTAGGTACAAACTCAAGGACAGTTCGAAGCAGTGCAAACTCTAGGTACAGCCCTAAGAACAGCTAGAGGCAGTATACACTCTAGAGGAAATACGAACTCTAGGCACTAGAGGCAGTGCAAACACTATAGTAGTGTAAACTCTATAGGTACAAACTCAAGTGGCAGTACAAATGTTAATCTCAAAAGTGGAGTAACCTCAATAAGCCTAATTCAATATGGAGGTCACCAGGATGTGTCTGAGATTGATATCTCGTAACCAGCTCGTTTCAATGATAGGAAAATAAATTAATTTTTTTAAAAAAATTCTTACAATACATAGTGGATAAAGAGGCGAAATATACCGAAAAAAAACCATGTTTTAACAAGCAGTTAAAAAAGATGGACAGAGCACGAAATAAAAAAAAATGCGATTTTTTTTTGTAAATCAGCGGTCATAATCCAGCAAGTTCCGTTCCGATATGCATCAGAATCGGATAAAAATTGTGACTTCTAGAGGGTCCACAGTCATTTTGTTGGCCGATTTCGATCCGATTTTCACGAAATTCAAACTCAAACATTATTAGGGTGTAACGGTGATATATATATTTAAGCGTTTTGTTTTTAACTCGGATAAGTTAAGAATTTAGTCAACTTTCAATTACTGTTTATGAGAAATATCTTTGATCCAGAAACGCAAAACTTTGCACATAGTTTCTTATTGATGTATTTGATACAATAAAACAACAAAAGTTTAATAAAGGGAAATATTTTAGTTAAAATAAGGCCAATAGTTTTGAGTCAATTCTTAGCTTAATTCTGAGAAGACTTTATGAACTTAGGACAAGGAAGTTACAGTCCAATATGCACGAATATCGAAGGGAATCGCGAGTGTTAGGTTATAAACATACATTTGAAGTTTCATCAAAATCGGATAACAATTATGATCTTTAGAGTGTCTACAAGCTAAACACGTGATTTTTTCGTACAGTCAAGGGCCATAATCCATGAAGTTACGGTCTGATACAATATGCCAATATCGAAAGGAATCGTGATCTTTTGGCGATAAACCTATTTTTCGAGTGTGACCTGTGAAGTGTCTACAAAATATTTGTGGACGGACGGAATGGGGTGACGACAATATACGTGGGCGTATATTAAAATCCATTGTCCCCATATATAACCTGTCACTATCTTGTAAGAAATGTCTTTTTTATGGTTTTCAATGTCTCTGAATTTAAAAATGAATTTCGAGAATCCAGAAATATAAAAATAGAATCCAAAATGGCGGATTTTCAATTAATCGTCATTTTGTTCTTGCTGACTTATAATAGAAATTGCACTAATAAAATAACGCCAACCAGATGTTTAGATTTCTCAGGTTAACTTTTGAAGTTCAAAATAGAATTCAGTAACGATGAAAACGTTATTCGTTTTAAAAGCAATGGGCTCTATTTCAATTTTCGTCTTCCAGTTATGCTGTTTGGGCTATTCAAAGTTAGAAGCAAAAATTTTGGGTCGGCATTCAACGCAGTAGCCCCAAAAACCTTATATAAGACATATTACAAGCCATATCCAACGAAGAAAATGACGATAATTCAATTTTGGCTGCCATTTTGGATTGTCAAAATTTATAATTTATTCCGATACATCGAAAGCCGTATATAATACACAGTAAAAGTCATAACGAGATATTTTAGTACCAAATTTGGCAGCCATTTTTAAAGAAATGCCCGGCGCCATGTGAAAAATACATTTTATGATTATTTTTTTATTTTTTTTTGTTGGTCAAATTCGTTTTTCGGCACATGTCGCCGAAACTTCCTGAAGACCGCCATATTGGATTACTTGCAGTTCGTCTACACACTGATCAGCAGTGAATTTTCGCTAGGCCTCTACAATCACTGATAAGGATGACATCGGTGCGACTTAATGAGTCCTAAATATTAACATTTTTCTTCCTTCAAATTAAATTCTAAAACATTTTTTTTCATTTATTAGAAAAATAAATAAAGACGTTTGAATTATTTGTAGGTAAAAATCATTTCCTATTT